CCATCAGTGAAAAACAGATTTAAAAGTTATTCAATGGTAATATCCACGGCGCTAAGCTTGACTGCTTTAGCAATGACCAGACTTCTACAGGCCTGATCCTGTGCTGTTCTGAGTTTCCTTCAAGTTAGACGGGCAGTAACGGTCATAAAAGGCACTATTTCTCTGCAGGAAAATGTTGCTTTCCAAAAGTCATCACCTAATTAGCATCCTGAAAGCCAGGACAAGCTGACCACGGAAGCCAAACTCAACCCAACAGATGTGCACAGAGCTGGATAAACCAGGAACGAAGAGCTTTGCTGCACCTGTTTTATCGAGTACAGAACGGACCTAATTTTACTGCAACATCAACTGAGGAATTTTTCACAGGCACTATAATCCACCAGAAAATTACCTTAAGCAGCATCTACTCCATGAAAGTACCCTTGAGAAATCCGTCTCTTCATCTGGGTTCTCATCCAACCCTACTACAGCCAAACCAACCTAATTTCTCCTCATGTGTTGGCTAAAATAGGGCAGCTGAAAAACGATTAACAAAGAAATTCAAGACCTGGGCTGACGGAAGGCAGATGTGTATGAGCTGGCCAACCACAAAAAAAATCCTCCAAAATTATTTCACCCCAGCTCAGGTCTCCAAACCAGCAATCCCAAAAGCTCTTTTAAAAACAGATGGGCCATAACTCATCCCCTGCTTCCAAAGGTGAACGGCAGGCTTCCTGATCTACAGCAGACCAAGTTCCCAGCTCCACAGTTTTACACTGCCCCGTTGAAATAGATAAAAATTGCTTCTTTTAGATCAAGCCTGGAATTTGGTCCTCTTCGTTTAACCTTCCCATGTACTCAGATTATTATTTTTTTCCCCAACACCTTCTTAAGAGTCATTCTTCCCAGGCCAACTGCGATCAATGGCAAATATAAATAGGTTTTGGCTTTCCTCCATCCAGACCCATTTCAAGACCAGGAAGCACAACTAAAAAGGGTAAGCTTGAGGTTTTGAGATAAGTTTTTTGTACTTTAATTACAAGCTACTGATTCTTCATTAGTCATTTTTAGTGTAACGCATAAAAAAACAAAAAAAACCAAAAAAAACACCCTTTGATTAGGCACTGCTTGTTTCACCAACTGGAGTCTTTTGAGAGCTTGGAGATAATGAGAACGTAATGTTTAGGACTTGTTTTGCACGTCTCCAAATCCGGCATATATGAGTCAGTCACACAGAATAGAAGCTTGTTAAAAAACAGATGACGGGTGCAACAATTATTTGTGTGGGTTTTTATTTCTTTTAATAGAAAATTCTAATATAAAACAGCAAACATTTTCAGTTTGCCTTGTTTACAAAAATATTATATATATTTTTTTTATATTTCTGACATAACTAAATGCACTATTCAATAAAAATATTCTTCCATCAGCTAACTTCTCTTTTAAAAAAATTAATAAAAAAGTTATATAAATAATGGTTGCACCCCCCCCACCCCAAAACTGATCTCGCAAGTCTTGCTGGATCAGCTTAGGAGAACCAATATTTTGACACTTTTCGGGGGACAGGGAGTGAAAGGGGATCAAAAAACCAGGGACCTCCCCTACACCCATCCATCCTTCTCCAGTTACAACGGTTGCAAAAACCTGTTTCTCTAGGGGTAAGAAAAAGGGAAAAAGTTGCTTTGCACTTTTTTTTTTTTTTTTAAGAAATGACATTATGAAAGATTCAGGGACCTAAATTAGCTCTTGTAGTAGTTTTACAAAAATAAGCAATTTCATTGAAATGCACTGGAGATCCAATGGTGCGGTGGTAGAATTGGCCTCTCTGGAAAAATCCAATTTCATGCAGCTGGAACCAAAAAGGTTTTACAGGACATTATCCAAAATCTTATAGAGGACGTTAGGGTCTCTTATGCAGGGTTTTCCGAACTCACGTATGGAGTAGCACAAGCAGAAGCTCCAGCTCCAGGGGTTAATTCAATTCCAACATTCTATCACCAGCAGAAAACCCAGGTTGAGCGCTTGAGAGGGTTCTGAGAGGGTTTGACATCTTTCCTACCACCTGCTACTTGTTTCATCCTACTCAAGCTCTACTGGATTTTTCCAAAACGAGGCTTTTACCCCCATTCTTTCTTCGAATATAAGGCAAACACCAGAAAACGCTGGAACTCAACACCCCCCTCCATCCAAAACACACACAACACGGTGGGGGGAAGAAGAAAAATAACCCACATATGTTTTACCACCCTAGGTCAAAAGGCCAAGAAGACAAGTTCTCCTGATTTCAGAGTGTTAGTATATTTTATACACTGCCTATACATTTAACACATGTGCCTCGCTACTATTTAGTTATTTATAATTTTTTTTTTTAACCACAGGAGAATAAACCTTGCTATTTACAATATATAACAGGCAAGTAATATATCCACATTAACATAAATACAATTTGTTTTTTGTGGGGTTTTTTTTGTTGTTTTTTGTTGTTTTTTTTAAATACTTACAGAAAGCATCCAGGCTTCAGTGCGTGAGTTATAATACACAGAAGAGCTCTTTCACTCAGTAGTTCATTCACTCTTTACCTCTTTCTTCTAGTCAAGCTTTGACAGTTTGTCTTACTGCCCACCCATCTCTCTCTCTCCCCCCATTGTCAAACACATCAAGCTACCCTACCCCATCCGACCCAGGCGTTTTCTCCGCAATGATATTGATGTCAACGCTGCCTTCTCTTCTGCATCTAGGGACTCATTCTCCTCTCACACCAGTGCAATGTGGAGTTACTCCAGCGAGGTCAACGGAGACAGAGACACCAGTGAAAAGAAGGAAAATGAGGCCCATGGTTTAAATATAACAATAATAATAATAATTAATAATAATAATAATAATGCACATAAATTGCGGCCCATTCTTTAATTAAGAACAAATATTATTTAAAAAGAATGGAGCCAGAAATAGTAATTCAGACCCAAAAACGCTCGCGTTTTGAGCAGGTTTGGATCCGGCTTTACTTTGCAGGGGAAGAGCTATTCTAGCACACACACAAAAACGTAACAGTGAGTTTGCACATATGTGTGAGAGAGAGAGAGAGAGAGAGAAAGAGAATTTAACATAATACCACATTGAAACCATAAGAAGGTCCTTCTGAAGGGCTTTACAATAAATAAATGTTCATTCAATATTTATATATATATATTTATGTGTCAGCGTGTGTGTGTATATATATATATACACACATGCACACACTGAATAATAGGTTTGTAGTCAGTTTATTTTTTTAAACCATTAGATAAACTGCTCGTGGGTGACTTTCAAAGCACTGCATCTCCCAGAAGCTGCAAGACCTTCCTGCAAACTTTCTGCGTCGAACACCTCACTGCACGTTTGCCGTGGTGGAAGGGACAAACACCGTGCGTGGATTCCTCCTTTTCCAGCACTACTCCAACCTCCAGAATCATACAGCAAATAAAAAAACATCAAAAAGAGACAGTATGCTTCACTTTGCAGGACCATGGCGCTGTTAACAGAAACATCCAGTCCCTTTCCCATGCCCCCACCTCAAGATTTGATGCCAACGAGCCAGGCTGGACTGCAGGTATTTGTTACCAAGAAGAAAAAAAATAATAAAAAAAAAGTTTTCTCCTCCCAGTAGATGCACATGAACACTTTAAATATTAGTGGCTAGTATTTGGGGGGAAAAAAAAAAAAGAAAGAAAAAACACCTTGAAAAAAGAAAAAACACCTTGAAAAATAATGGTCCATCTTGGAAAACTGCTCTCTTTTTGCTTGGATAACAACTACTACAGCTTGAAAAACTCCAGCCAGCTTTCCTCTTTTGAGAACCAGATCAAGGGTTTGATAAAATTGGTGGAAATTGCTACTAATGGACAATCAAAAACTGCCACCTAAAATAAAAGGCCCTCCGCTCTCCAGTGTTGCTTCAGAAAGCTTTCTAGAGGGATTCAATGGCTGCTTCCAATCTGCTTTTATATGACTGAAGGACATTGTCGCATCAAGTCCGGGATTGTAAGTATCCTCTTCAAAGAAAAAAAGAAATGTTGAAGGCTGTCATCTATTTCACAGCATCAGAGCCATCTACCACTGCAGTCGATTTCTGGCTTCTCTGGCCACTTGATAGCTTGTCTCTGTGTTGGCTGGTTGTTCTGAATCCAATAGTCAGTTACCATTTCGCAGTTGTGTTTTTAAAATACAGTTCTCAATCTAGTGGTTAAAAAAAAAAAATAATCTTAAGGTCATAGGGTTTACGTACAGCTTGTGTCATGTACCACTGCCATGGTTTAGAGTAAATGGAATGATGACCTAGTAAAAGAAAAGTCAACTCCTCCAGAGGTCTGATCCAGTCCAAAACGGCTGCTATACAATGCAAGACAGCACTGCGTTCCAAGATGCACTCGAATTTCTCTTGTCCTACTCAGAAAAACACGTCCAAATTCAGCTGGCATAAGACTAAAAAGTTCCAGTTCGGATTTCTGAAGCAGTTACCACAGGTTGAATTCAATGAACAAGAGGTGGGAAGAGGAGAGAAAAATAAATCATGCACAAAGTGAAAGTAAAACAAGAGTAACTAGTGGTTTTTTTAAAAAAATAAAATAATAATCATTAAGACAGTGATAGTGCTAAAGAAACTGCATTCAAAGAAATTGTTTCAAAAAAAGAACACGATTGGACTGATGGGACAGGCACGTCTGGTTTTCTACTGTCTTCCCAACCTCTTTCTTGGATATATTTCTGTCTGCAACATGGTGGACCCAACGTTTTTTGAGCTGTATTTGGTGATCAAAGCACGCGGATACGGAGCTGTCGTTAAAAAGCTTACCCTCCCAGTGGGTCTCTTTGTCAGAGCCTTGTTTGCTCGATGTGCAGAAACTCCACTAGAAGAACCATCAGGGCTGTTCCTGCTCAGCCTACACGTCTTTCTGGTTTTAGAAGGGAAAAATAAATGACTGCTTCCCGTACCATCGCATTCAAAGCAGAAAGATCTTTCTTTCGTATCTGCTTAACTCTCTAAGCAGTTGGGTAAGCTTCAGGAATAAAGTAGTATAGGTTATTTATGCCAAAGAGAATATATTAGGCCAGGAGTTCATGGAGGATTGGTGAAATGATAAGATGTTCCAAGGATAAATGATCCATCGAACTGTGTAGACAACTAAGGTGAAGGTCAACTGGTGTCTAACCCCAGTGTGACAGGCACTTATTTCCACATGGTTGGACCTCATTAAAATTCAGTCTACAGGAAAAAAACAAAACGAAACAAAAACAAAAGAGCAACACGGCTGGGTCACCTGTACCCTACAAAGTGCTTATGTCTCAACATAGCTTTCAGATCCCAGAAGGTCAATCAAACCCTGTTTGTCTCCGTATTTAGTTCTCATAGATCGCCATCGCCCGTCACCAAGAGTTGCCATCAAGCAGAAGACGTGTCAGTCTTTGCAGGTGTAAACCTCTTCTCTCTGGGTGCATTGCTTGCATTCCACATAGCAGCACCAACGGACCTGGCACTGGCACGGACGGGTGACCACCCGGCTCTGCGTATTGTGCCCTCGCCCACAGCAAATGCTATCACAATTCTTGTCTTTGTAACATTTCCTTCCCGAAGTCCCAGGTGAGTATCTACTCATCATACAGAAGCTTGGGGAATCGTCAATGTAGACAAGATCCGTAGTCCTTGGGATTTGATCACTGTGACCAGGGATGGACTTCTTGGGTGGAGAGATGTCTCCTTCCCCTGTGGCCTCGTTGGTAGTGCTGCCCACTTTGAGCGATGTCTCGTACTTTTGCTTCAGCTGCTTCCCTATTTCATGGAATGGAGAGAGCTGCCTCCAGCATGTTCGGACAGTACAGGATCCAGATACACCATGGCATTTACAGGTTGTCTCCACTCCAGCTTTAATGACCTGCAGACACACACGGCCCCAAAAGAAGATCAGTTATGGGGGAAGAAATCAAGGCACAGAGTGAAAAAAAAAAATAAAATTTGCTAGAAGACACTCCTGGAACACAAAGTTGATGACAACACAAAAGCCATCCATTGGAAGAGGACAGAAAACACACCCTACAGGAAATAATTGTTTTAGAAGGGTCCTCAGTTTCCATAAATGATATTTACCTGCTAGAATATTGCTTTATTGGCTAGCTAATGCTACTAGCAAAGTGTCCAAAGGCTGTCTGGTGCTGCCACTCATCTGCGTAGGCAGAGGTCTGAAGCTATGATACAACTCAAGAGATGAATACATATCCTAGCACCTATTTACATATTTTAGTAAGAACAAGGATATAAGATGTAACAAAAGTGGAAGGAGCTGGTTTAGCGGAGGCAAGAGGAAGCTGCAGTAACACACACAAACACACAGGTGGGGTGGCACATGCTCTAGAACATGAGCGTGCACAGTATGATCCTTCTCCGTACCGCAACGCACAAGATACCACCTTAAAACTCACACAGATCCCAATTGGCAGCACGGGCACAGTGGAAACATGGTTAAGCTGTGCTGTTTCCACCAGCAGCAACTAGGCATAGCATCCCACCCAGGTCACTTTGACTGAAGAAAAACTTTTGTGCAGCTGAAATACATATATAAAACCCCTCAAGAACAACCACCCGAATCATCATCACCAAAACCAGCAGCTCCAAAAACATCCAGGTAGCTTCCACCTCTTCAACCTGTGTTCAAGAGCCTATTCTGGAGCATGGTAGCATGTTCAAAAGGACCTGCCAATTTTTTTTTCTGCTCCAATGAAGAAGCCTGCATGTGCTCTTAAAACCAAAGAATGCCATCGCACGCTGGCCAAACACGTGTTTAATGAAGCACGTTTTCATGCAGGGGAAAACCCAAGGTTGCTCCAGTCTTCTCTGTGTTCTCCTTTTCTCTGAAAAATTAAGCTGTGAAGAAATGGAAAACAGACCTCTGCGTGAAGCGTTCAGTAATTCCAGGTGCTTTAATGCAGCCCCCAGCATTTGCTCTGCCTGTGGCACCAGATGTAGGCAGCTTGGAAGGCTGGTTTCTCACACAGAGAGTTTCGAGGGGAAAAAATATGAAATCTGGGTTGATGCTAGAGTGAGAAGACTCCATGCCAGCAGGTTTCGTGACCCCTCAGGCAGTGACACTTTATGCCTGCTTATGCCTCCGGACTACAACTATCAAGGGCAAGGCTTGGTTTCAAATCCTTTCTTAACTACTTAATTTTTATATTTAAAAAACAAAACCAAAACCAAACATTCAAACACTTGCAGTGAGTGTTGTATTGAGAAATAAGACTCATCTCACAGATCCCTAAAGGAGGGAAATAATTTGTCTAAGATAACAGAAAGTAAATGTGTATCTTTAATTTATTCCCAAACCAAAAGAAAGCCAGTCTCCATACAGAAAGACATCCAGATCTTGCTTGGGGATAGCTTGCACGGGAACAGCTCTCTTGAGACCACCACAAAGCATAAATATAGAAGGAAGAGCAGAGCCAGTTCACATACAAGATGGAGGGAATAGTAAGAGAAGGCTATATTCAACAGAAAAAGCAGCATGGAAAGGAGATGCAGTATCAGGAAGGCAAGAGAAGAAAGCAAAGAGTCAATAGTTATCCGTCTTGAAGACAGACAAAGTTGGTAACAGCCCCCTGGGTGCTGTAAAGGACCCCACACCCATAAGCTGACTGATGCTAAACAAAGGATGTCATCCTTTTTGAACCAGACTGCAATAAAGATGCTTCGTGGCACAAAAGCATATCCATCTCCTTATAAATGGCATCTGGATGTTCTCTCCCATCTTCTCCAGAGACAGGTTTACACTTTGGTCTCCTCCACGGGCAACACAAGAGCAGACGTTATTTGGACAATCACAGATAACCTGTGATTTGCCCACACATTATAAACAGATATTTATAGTTCTAGTTCTCTCTCTACCCCCCCAAAACAGGCTACATTTTGACTTTAAATGGATAAAGCATAACCACCCCTTAAAATAGCAAGTTAGAAAAGAGTTTGTTTTATACAGCTGCCTTCTGTCAAGGTACTATTGAAAGTGCTCTTCCTTTGGGCATCTACGGTATCCATAAAAAAAGAAAAATAATAATCTCCCCCCGTGCCCACTATGGCATCTGCCAACATTGTGGCCTCATGACAGCAGAGGGCTGGCTCCAGTCCATTTCCTGACCATCCAGTTCTTAATTATTTGGCTGCACGAGCCCTGCTGAGCACCATGTGCAAACGTGCAATAGGTCATGGACTCAGAACTGGGGCCCGGCCCAATCCTGATATTACAGAGACGTTTTTAGAAAGACACGATGCATAATACGGCCTTCAGCAAAGCCTGGCCAATGGTCACACTTCATTCCTGCGACAGCCAAGACCTTTTCAAATGCAATCCAATAATACACAGTAGCATTCAAACAAGTGACGGGTTACAGAGGGAGATGTGTTACTGCTTATAGTAGTCAGCTGGGCCGGCTTGGTCAGGGGCTGTCACGCTTTGCGTGCCAAAGCGTCTAGCCAACTCTGCAAGAAATCCCACAATGTTAGACAAGAGCGTACAGAACACATTTCAACACCGAGAAGAAAAAAAAAAGAAACAAAAAGCAACCCTCACCCATACTGTCTCTCATGTAAAGTCACATTTCACTGGTTGTTCAGAAGTGAGAGTTGAGTTCATGAGAAACGAAGCTCCTATACCTGATTTCACACCCAGACCATCAGCAAACTGGGCAAAATTGCTGAGATACTTGCAGAAGGGTTGCACGCTGCAGTCGTTCATCGGTTCGGGGTTTTCTCAACCCTTCCACCTCCCCCAACCCCATTCGCATCTGCTCCGCCTGGAAAAGGAGATGACCACCGTTGTACAGGAGATGGGAAAGTAAGAAACCAAGAGGAATTGGCTCCCCTGGTAGCCACGCTCCTGTGCACAGGCTTGGCTGGATTTACAGCTGGTTGAACAAGGCATTGGTCGTGAAATGCAGGAAGGGAATCTGGACATGGGGCTGTTCTCATCAGGAGCCACCTCTCCAGAGCTCAGTAGGAGAGTTGACGTTGCAGGTGCAGTATATCCAAGGGATCCACATGGGGCTGGTCGATATGGCACAATATGTGTTGGAAATACGAATCATGACAGATTGGCAGCTAGCAGATGACAGCAGAACTTCAGTCAAGAAGAGGCATGTAGGTTTAGGCACCTGAATCACACCATCCAGCCAGGCCTGACCTCACTGAGGCAGACTTTTGAGTTTAAATGTTTACATTTGAGAAACATTTCTAAACTCCCATCTGATTCGGTGGAGCCAAAGCAGGCAGGGGATCCGGCAGTGAAGGAGACACCTGCACGTGCTCAGCTGAACAGCTCTCCAGGCTCCACCAACTGTGCTGACCACATCTCCAGCCACTGCCGAGAGCCTAGGGACCTGGCTCACATGAAGGCACCTCAGTTTAGATATCTTAACCCACGAGCAGAACCCCACCCTCTGGGCAGAATTCAGATGTCCAAATATCAGCATCTAGCATTATTTGAGGCACTGTAAAACACTGCACTTCATCACCAGCTGCCCCTCCAGGAGCATAAAGGTCTCTGAAAGGGTACTAACATATATCTAGGTAGATGAGCCCTACTCTCCTTATCTGTACTTAAACAGTGATGAACAAAGTGCCTAATGAATACCAGTCTGTTTTTTCCCCTGACTCACTTCTAGCTTCTTGTTAAGCAGTGGCTAGGACAGCTTAGATGTCATGCACTGGTGGACCAAAGCATAAAAGATTTCCATTGTCCCCATTCACATGAATGCACTAGTTCAGGAAATTCAGCATGTAGATTTTCATATGGCCACTGTGCAAGTGTGGTGCATCCCAACTGCCCCATAAACCTCCTTGAAGGGCTGGGAAGGGCTCAAGAATGTTAAGAGGCAGCTATAGTGAAAATCCTAAAAAAATTTCTCCCCTAGCCAGCCTCTCCTGCTGTTGTCAGTCACGACGCAGCTACTCAAGGCAACGTGTGATGGAGAACTGCTGCCTACGGGCCCCTAACCACCCACGAACCAAAATGAATCTTGGCAAAGCCCTTCTGTTTCCCGTCTCGTCCCCCAGCTTCCTCCTCTTTGTTGCCGGCTCCTGTCAGAGACACTTAAATCCACCTCGTACCTCCAGGAAGCAGAGCAAGACTTATCCAAGTCAGCAGGTTGCTTGGAGAAGTGCTGGAGAAACCTTTCCTGGCTGGGCCCTGCGACAAATGGATAAATGTCTAGACCATGCTTTCAAGCTTGGAGAGATTTCCAGGATAGAATAACTTCACTTTTATTGTCAAAAAAGTCTACCGTACACAAGACAGGATAAGAAGCTCAACATGAGCCGGCACCGTGCGCTGGCAGCCCAGAAAGCCAACCGTGTCCTGGGCTGTATCAAAAGCAGTGTGGCCAGCAGGTTGAGATTCTGCCCCTCTACTCTGCTCTCGTGAGACCCCACCTGGAATACTGTGTTCAGCTCTGGGGTCCCCAACATAAGAAGGACATGGAGCTACTGGAACAAGTCCAGAGGAGGCCACGAAGATGATCCGAGGGCTGGAGCACCTCTGCTATGAAGACAGGCTGAGAGAGTTGGGGCTGTTCAGCCTGGAGAAGAGGAGGCTCCGGGGTGATCTTATTGCAGCCTTCCAGTACCTAAAGGGGCCTACAGGAAAGCTGGAGAGGAACTTTTTACAAGGGTGTGTAGTGATAGGACAAGGGGCAATGGATTTAAATTGAAAGAGGGGAGATTTCGATTAGATATAAGGAAGAAATTTTTTACATTGAGGGTGGTGAGGCACTGGCACAGGTTGCCCAGAGAAGTTGTGGCTGCCCCATCCCTGGAAGTGTTCAAGGCCAGGTTGGATGAGGCTTTGGGCAATCTGGTGTAGTGGAGGATTTCTCTGCCCATGGCAGGGGG